GAGAGAGTGCGCCACAAGGGCTCCTGCGCGCTCACCCCCATCTCCAGGCTTTGCCTCCCCCTCCTTCTCGCCCATTCCATGAATTTCTGCCCCCGTTGCGAGCGAGTCGTCCACCATCTCCTTTCCTATCTAGCAGGAACAAGTAGGTGCGAATTATTGTCAACCCACAAAAGGAACTGGATATTGTGCTCCTGGTCCCACAACTCATCCTAAAGAGGCTGTTCTAGTTCCCATCAGGAGCCGTGGGTAGGGGATTGCGTGTCCGGCAGCACCTGAGGCTCTTCTGTGGAAGCGCGCCCCCGGGGTCTTTGGGGATGCTGTGGCCTCAGAATATGAGTGCCCTTCCATCCTCCCCCCTTCGCCGGCGATCTTCCAGTTACATAAGTGGAATGGGACATAGTCTGTAACGGGCTCCCATAGTCTTGGATCGCGAAGATCACCAATACCAGATGGGGCAAGTTCATCTCATCGCTGTGGTTCCTGTCACTTGTCCCTGAAAGTTTATTTTCTTTCTAGTGTGGTTATGACTGAATCACCCAAACTGAAACTCAGGTGACTTTTACATGGCGTGGCAATGTGTCTGTGGCTTTGCACTGAAGACTTAAGAGGTCATTGTGAAGAGTCTTAAAAGAGTGCTCTTACAGAGGAGACCGTGTATGACATTGCTAAGTATGGACCCGAGAGGGGGAAGCTTGCTCTTGAATATCTCTGTGGCAGTCGCTTCTGTTGTGTGTTCGGTGTGGATTGGTCCCAGCAGAAATGGGCTCCACCACAACATTGATATTCCTGACTCATGGTCAGGCAGATGTGTGCTTCTGGTTATTTTTCCAGGAACAGGAATGGGCTTTGCAGAGCTATTCACATGTTGTGTCTGCTGTGTTCACACGTTGTGTCTGCTGTGTGGGATCACTATCCTAAATAATGAGATGATAGGATCAAATTAAGGGGGTGGTTGGTGATCGTGGAGCCAAACCGTGTGTGTTGCTAAGTGGCTTAGACTTTGTAGAACTCTCACAAGTTGTAGGCGTAGTAGAAAAACGAAGCATAGTCGGACCTTGGTAGTAAAATTCGCTGTTAATAGGTGAATTTATTACTCTAGAGGGGAAATTTGGGTTTTGTGGCTGGACTTTTCAACTGGATCTCAGTGACTACAGTTAATAACAAGATTGAGCTGATCTCTTGGGTCTTTTGAAATATGCTGGATCCTTATGAAAAATGCAGGGTCTGGATTTTTAGGTCTTTTGGGAATTTCCCTCTGGGATTCAGGGAAATGGGATTTTTTAGGACTTCTACTTAAAATCCTAGTCAGGAAGCCTAGGAAACACTTCCTTTTAAAGGGCACATCAATCTAGTACAAGTACAGTTGATTAAGTAAGTCGCCACAGAGCACCCATTTGTAGCATGTTAGCTAGGTGGCTGATCACTGAGGTACATACTGTCCACGCACACAGACACACAAGCCTCACTTGACAAAGATTCCAAAGTATGCACTTCTGAACCTGAGATGTGACAGGACAAGGGCTCTGCTTTGTTTTGCCGTTGTTGGCAATGTGTTTGCCTCCTCAGATGCGCTCCAGCTAGTTGTTTGTTA